ATATATATATATATATAGGAGGGTTCAAACGACATTAAAGTTATTGATCTAAGAGATATGAACTTTCAATCTAACGGTTAGATTTTCAAAATTTACATTAAAGTTATTGAGCGATAAAATACTTAGTAAAAGTTACACCAGTGTCGTTTGAACCCTCCTCATATATATATATATATATATATATATATATAGAAATCATTCAATGATACAACACATAAGTTGCCACATACTGCATAATTTTGAAGAGCATATGTATATGAGATATTCAGATGTAAGAATTAAACATTTCTCTAATTTCTATAGAAACTATAATGAGATTTAGTCTTCATAAAGGAAATAATTTATTTATAAGGTGTTATCCTTACCATGATTATAGCCTTGATATTGTTAATAGTTAAGCAAATGTTTTGGTTACTATCATTACCATCCTGGAATTTTAGTAGAATATCTACCAAATATTCCTCTGCTTCAGCTTGGTCTTCTTTAGCTTTTGACTTTGCCTCTTTGTGTTCATCGATGATGTTTTGTAGTATCTTATCCATTTGTCGATGCAACCTCTCGAGTTTAGGCCTCGCACCAGTAACAAGATGAAGCCATTTAGCAGAAGGAAACAGATCTTCTATGTTAAAACCTGCTGTAACTGTCATTACTTTTTTTAGGAGCGATATGAATTCTTCCTTGTCTCTGCATTTCATGCCAAAAGCACTTCTTGAAATGATATTATATGTTGATAAAAGAACTGCTTCAGTGAGGTTGATGGGGGACCCATTATGTGAAGCAACCATTTTAACGAGATTGGCGAGTTCTTCTTCTCTTATTGGTTGGAATGAGTTGACACGTTTCTGGGTGAGAAGCTCCACTGTGCACAATTTTCGTAACTGTCTCCAATAATCTCCATAAGGTGAAAAGGCAATATCTTTGCATTCATAAGAAAAGACAACTGAGGCTAGAATGCGAGGCCTTGATGCAAAGATGACATCATGAGTTTTCATTATCTCCATAGCATATTTTGGTGAGGAAACAATGATTGTGAAGACCTCCCCAAGTTGAAGATGCATGAAGGGTCCATATATTTTGGCCAAGTCTCTTAATCTTTTATGTGGTGGTATTGATGTTACTAAATGATGTGTATTTCCTATAATAGGTAGCTTCCATGGTGCTGGAGGCAATTTTAGAGATGAATCAGTTTTCTTAACATTCTTCCCTATTTTCTGTGCCAGAATCACAAAGAGGAAAAGAGGCATCACAAGGGCCAGGATGTTAAGTACTTCGGAATCCATGGTGACAAAAGAGACTAACAAAGTGTTTTCTAAGTCCTGATAAAGATCAGGATCAATATTGCCTTTTATTGGTTGTTGTCTCTTTTTTTTTTTGCTGTTTATGCTACTGTAGAAATAATCTCTGTTTATTTCGTTTTCATATATATCAACAAATATTGATGGAGTTTAATTAATGATATAACCCACGTGTATTTTGTGTTCTTATATATAAAAATAAATGCAGTTATTAAGTTATTAATTATTTTTTTATTAGCTGTATTATAATTAAATATAATTATTGCTTACATTATTTAATTTTATAAATATTTTTAAATGAATTTCAATTTGTGATACTATCGATTTTAAAACTAATTAATTTAATTATTTTCATTAATATTAATGAATTAGATCTGGAATTCCAATTGTGTAAGTGACATCATCCGAGTAAACCCGAGTGAGGATTATATCCTGTTTAGCTGTGACTGAGCAGGCGCATTGGGCATGAAAACGGTTAGGGTGGTTTCGGTAGGATGGGATGTCACTTATACAGCTCTGTTGTTAGGGAGATCTCCTAGGTGTATGCGTGACAACGCATTAGATGATTGATATGCATTGATATCTGTCATGAGATGCATTTATTGCATGATTATTAATATGATGAAGTGTGGTGTTTGACTTCATGATTGGTGGATTGTATTTTATGC